TCTAGGTTTTATTTATGACTCTGCTACTGGATGACTGTGAGGAAATCACTTTGCTGCTTTGTGCCTCAGCTTCCCCATCTGTATAATGGGTGGTGAGGATATAGATGTCCTTTGTGAAGTGCCTTAAGATCTACTGATGGAAAGTATTACATACGAGTTAATTATATACATTGCTGTATTAATATCTATTTAAGTTTATACAGTAATACTGAAGTGCCCAAGAGCTATGACGGGCACTTCAATTAATAAAATTCAGATTGTGTAAAATACATAATTGACTACTCATGAGGGACTGCCCCACTTGCCTTTAAAATGATCTGTTAAGCCTTTCAACAGTGTCAGTCAAACGTTCCCTCACCTAAACTGTGCTTGTATTCTGAAAAAGTTCTCTGAAGAGATAAAGGTAATGCAAAAAAGGAGGAAAAAAATTGGCCTTGATGTTGTTTTTTTGTTTCTTTAGAACCTTTGAAGGTGGCTTGAAAGGATTTCCATTCAGTTTCCTTGCCTGTGTTCCTTGGCTTCAACAAAAGCAAACAGGAAATTCAGATCTTCTCTACCCTAGAAAATTCAATTCTAACATCTCATGAGAATGAAAGCTGAACAACTGAATGGGGATGGGAGTTTGTGTCATGATGGTAAACATGCTGTTGGTTATACTGAATTCCAAATTACGAATAGAATCTTTGGAGAAAAGGAGTATAATTGTTAACAATAAGCCTTAAAGGATGAGCGCTGTGTGTGTTCATAGAGACATTCCAAAAACCTCCAGAAAAATCCTCCAGCCAAATTAGATAAGGTGTTTCTGGTTAAAAATACTTTAACTAAGAGAAAAAAAAATCTTGAACAATCCAACAGACCATCAGGCCTTTTTTTATCCCTCAAAAGAAGCCAAAAAGAGAGTAAGACAATTTAAAAAAAAAGTAGGTCCCCTTTAAATATGGGCTTTGGAAGAACAAAGCTAGGGAAAAAGTCTCAGGGGGTAGCCATGTTAGTCTGTAACTTTGTTAGTTCTCTACCTTAGAGACTAACATATATATATATATATAAATATAAATAAATAACTAGGGGGCTGTGCCCCCGATCGCTACATTTACCAACCCCCGCTCTTGTGAGGGATAGACATCCCCAGCTCTCCCCACAGCTACCAGGGAGGCCTGGGCTGTGTCCATGACAGCCCAGGCCCCTTCTCCCTCCACTCCAGACACAGCCTCCTCCTGCAGCATTACTGAGGAAGGGAAAAGCATGCTGCAGCAGTGACACAGGGAGCCACATCTATTTTCAAGTAGGCTCTGCTGTCTGCAACACTGCCCAGAAATCCACAAAACTGCCCCCACCAGCAGGGCAGCTTTGGGGAACCTGTTCTCCTACCAAATCAGTCAGGCCTGGCTACTTACCGGCCAAGCTCAGCTTTGGCCTAATGCTTTGCATTTACCCAGCACCCCCCCTTCCCAGAGAAGGGCAATCAAGGAGAGTCAGGAATCCCCTCAGCCCTTGGGGCAGCATGTGGGACGTGCAGAGGCCAGACATAACCAGGGTAATGGCCGTCCCCACAGGGTGGATCAAAGAGCCTAGTTGGAGAGGCAGGCCACAGGGACAGCTTTTAAAGGGATCCGCCCGAGCCGTCCCATCGATTTATAGATATTGCTGCAATCCAGATGCCCAGCTTGGCCTCTGCGTGGTTAATGGATGGAGAGATGAGCCTAGGAAAAGAGCTGCAGGGCCAGGACAGACCAGGGACCACAGCGTTCTGATGCTCAGGATGGCAGCTCCCAGCTTCACCAGACCTTCCTTGCCATGCATTAAAGCAGCAAGGCAGGTAGAGGAGGGGGTGAGGAGAAGGGGAATTAATCCTTTGATTTCTGAGGTAAAATGCCAGTTATTTCCCTCTCCACCAAAGACCCCCTTTCCCCACAATGCAGCTGCCCATCCACAGTTCAGGCTGCTATAGCTCAGTGGCATGGCCAGCATGGAATATTTGGGTGGGCGGGCAATTATGGGGGACTGGGAGGGATAGGGGCCTGCTTCCCCTGAACCCCCTGCAGCCGGCTTTGCAGAGATGACAGATGGCCCCTTTGGCCAGGGCGCAAATCCGGCTCCAGCTCGCTTGCTTGCCTGCCCTCCTCCCAGTGTCAGATGAGCCACTGGGCCAACCCGGAGTCCTGGAAAAATGGTTGCTCTTGTACGGCCTGCCTGGCGCTCCTGCTAGGGAGTGGGGTCAGAGCACGGGAGCGGGGGGGAGGGGAGGAAGGGTGCTCCGCTCAGCCCAGTGCTCCTGTCGAGGCTGGGTGGCTGGAGCAGAGCAAGTGCTGGGGCCATACCAGAGCGGAGGCTGGGAGTGCCCACCACCCCCTCTGCCCACCCATGGCTGTACCCCTGCAACAGCCAGACAAAGGCGGTGCCCCCTTGCACCAGTGACCACTGTATGCTCCTCGGCATTGCCTCCTCACCCTGGGGCATCGAGCGCCAGCCGTGTCCGGCGCAGAGGTTGAGGAGGTGGTGGCAGGAGACTCTCCCTGTAACCACACTGCAGGGGGCTGCCGCTCTCAGCCCTCTCCTATCTACTTCCTCCTGGCCTGCAGCCATGGGCAGCGAGTTCCATAGGCCTGTGATGTCCGGGCACCAGGAATATTCCTGGCCCAGGGCCTGGCTTCACTAAAGTTCAGAGCCGGGTCTCTCCCCAGCCCCCCCTGCCACTTGTGGGTGATGTAAAATGGCCCCCTGCTGCCGCCAGCACTGGCAATCCAGTGGGGCTGCAGTGGCTTCCAACCACCTGCTCTGCTCAACAGCCAGCAGGTCCCTGTGGGGATGGGGTGCGGCGTGCGTGTCTACACGCTGCCCCTGTGCCAATGGGAAGCCGTGGGTATAGTATTTGCAGACACCTAGGAGCTGCTGCCAGAGGAGAGAGCCCCAGATAAGCACTGCACCCCACCCCCTTCACCCGTCCTTTCCCAGACCTTGCATCCTTTTCCCACCCCTTCCTGCCCCCAAACTCTATCCCAGGGCCTGCAGCTCTCACCCCCTTCTACATCCCCACCCACTGTCCCAGCCCAAAACCTGCACCCCAGACCCTCTCCTGCACCCAAACTTCCTCCCAGTGGGCAACTTCTCATCTTCTCTTGCACCCAAACTCCCTTCCAGAGCCTGCATCCCCTCTTGCACCCCAATCCCCTGCCCCAGCCCAGAACCTGCACCCAAACTCTACCACAGAGCCTTAGGCAGCTGGGCGGGGGAGATGGGGCGCAGAGGAGAAGGAATTTTAGGAGCAGGAGGAGTGTGGGCTCTGGGCATTCTGGGCACCACCAACATTTCTACATACCTGCCACCCCAGCCTGCAGCATGCTTAAAACCTCTCTCCTGCCCCCGGCCACTACCACAGCTACTCAGACCACACTGCGAGAAGATCCACGATCGCAACTCTCCCTCAGCACCACCGGCCCCGGGGAACACGCCTCCTTCCCAGTCAATTTCCCAGCCTGCTGGGTTTCACCCAAAGAAGCAAGAGGCAGAATCTTATTCTGGATGGTCTCCAGAGGCAGCCAGAAGAGACTGTTTTAGCCCCATTTCTCCTGCACTGCCCCTCCCCCACCACTTTTCTCCGGTCAGAGGTAAAAGTCTGTCCTCAGATGCTCCTCTGAGACCTTTTCTCACTATTTCCAACCCATCACCTTGATCAGTATTTAGCCAGAGAGGGTTGAGGGTGGGGACAGCATGGGGGAAACTAAACCCCCATTACAGAAACACAGCCAGCAAGAGCCTACCCTTTACCTCTTAACAGAGGGGCTGTGAAGGAGCTTTTCTGCCACGCCAGGGCAGGGAGGTCTCCACGCAGGAGGGGCCTACATGCCAAATGCTCTTGCACCAGCCTTATCTGAGAGCAGCCACATGCCACGCCAGTCTCATGCAAAAAAACCTTCAAAACCAGACTGCAAACGTGAAACCACTGAGCTGGAATGCCTATGCAAATTTGACACTGCCAGAGGCGGTCTGCAGAGAGACATGGTCTGCATGTCTCTCATTACAATAAGTCATTTCCCCTTCAGGTACTCTCACCTTCCTGTCGCTGTTGGAGGTGAGCCATGCCCATCCCGATTTAACTAGCAGGGATGTTACACTCCCCTCTCTGTAGCCCTGAGGAAATAAAGTGCAGCTCACAAAAGTTTATGCCCCAATAAATGTAGTAGTCGTAAGAAGTCACTGGACTCCTTGTTTTTTTATGATTCACAGTAATGCTCACTCATAATTACGCTGCCACGCGAGTATCAATAGCAGAACCGGGGTGTCTCATGCCTCCAAGAAAGCTCCTTGGGCAGGCAATGGGCAGCAAGTGGGTGTGACCCTTTTGCTTGGTGGGACAAGTTGCGGGTCCTGGGGACCTGGCACTGTGCAGGCAGAATTGGGAAGACTGCTGAAAATAAAATGAAGAGAAATGCTCTAGGGTAGGATCAGAGCAGACAAGCAAGAAGAGCTCTCTGCCCTGAGGCGATAGAGTCACAAACCCAGAGACTGTTGTCAGATGGTGTGGGAGGCCCTGGGTGCCTGTGGAGAGCCCAGCTGACTTGAGCAGCGCCTGTGTGGGTTCAGGGGCTGGTCCTTGTGGCTCCAGGCTGGGAAAGCAGCCCGCGGAGCATGTGACAGTCGGCGGGGCCCTGCGGCATGCATCAGTGTGGGTTTATAGTCATTCTTGCTCGGTTGCCTGGATTTTTAGTCCCCTCCTTCAGCTTGGCCTAGGCTCTCTCCTCCACTCCCTTCCCCTCATCCATTTACACCAGCTTCTCCTTTGCCTCTTCACCCAACCTCACCCTGTCAACTCAAGAGCTTCCCTCCCGTGCAGTCTGGCCCTGCCCTGGCCCTTGCTCCCAGCTGCACCACTCCCAGAGGCTGGGAGATACATGAGCATGCGCAGCCGGGACTTCATACCACTGCCTCGTGCCTGCACTTGATGGGGTGCAGCAGCCCACGGTGCGCTGGACTGAACCAGCAGAGGATTATATCCTACTCACTGTGAGGAAGGCGATGAACGACCAACAGACCAGGTTCCTCTTCATCTTTGAGAGTCAACGATTTGCAATGAGCCACGGAACAAACCTGCTGGGACAAGGAACAGGAGGGTCACCAGAGAGTCAGCCTTCCTCAACAGCTAATTCAGGATCCAGCAGGATGGAAACATCTCTCCGGACAAGCCTGGACTTACCTTCAGCCCACCCAAGCCTGCTGTTCTGTTTATCCCTGCAAATTACAGGGTAAGGATGTGAAATACGGGTTAATTTAATAGTCGAGTAACCTCATGAATTCGTATTGGTCAGTCGATTATTCTATAGTCTCTGGAGGATGGGGCCGACAGCTAATGCGCTCTGGCTTCACTCCCGAGAAGACCCCTGCCAGGTGGGAGCTGGTCCATGAGGGAAGCCAGTTTAAAAACCACCTCCCTTTGTGGAGTGGATGCCTGTCATCCTGTGCTGCTGCCTCTGATCAAGAGGCAGCAGTGCAGGGTGGCAGCAGCCCCTGTCTAGGGGCGGTCTGAGCTTCCGGACCCGGTGCAAGCCAGAACTAAGCAGGGCTGCCTGCCCACCCTAATATACTTTAAATGCAGAGCCGCAGGGGGGTAGGTCCCAGACCCATTGCGAGCCAGGACTAAGCTGGGCTGCTGGCCAGCCTGCTAAAAAATTTACTGGCAAGTGTGGGGCTGGGAGGCCTATAGCGTGTAGTCTATAGCATTAACCTATAAGCTTTTGCTTGTAGGTTAATCGACTGCACTTTTACATCCCTATTACAGGGAGCTGATAAGCAATCCTAGAAAGCTGGGAATCAGTTAAAGGAAATTCACCCTCCACCACCATACAGTCTTCTTCTGACTGTGCATGTCCCCTTGCCTCTGAGTCTGTGCCACACAGCAGAGCCTGACAGTGATATATAGCAGATGCAGCCTAAGTGGGAAAGGCACCAGTAGGCAGAACGACCCACCTCAATGGATCTGTGCCCACTTCCATCAGCAGCACCAGATTTACAAAAAAGGGTCCTATGTTTAAAACGTGCCTGGGTCACTACAGTCCCCCATTCCAATCAGCTCTTGTGTAACAGAAAACTTCCCCCTTCAAAGTTTCCCTGACAGAGAAAGAGAGAGACATGACAAGGGAAAAAGCTGTTTTGCTTGACATGCCTGGTTTTCCTAGGCAGTCTAGAAATCTCCCCTACAGAGTCTCCCTGCAGCTTTAGAAAGCCACATACTAACAGTTGCTTCTAGTCTCCAAAGCCAGCAGCAAGGACTTCCACTCTGATTGACACGTAGGGAGCTTGATGCACTTAAAGCGAGCCTGGTCTGAGAATGGCTTTAAAGAATGATGCATTGGACGTTAATTGTGTCTACGGTGCCTGCAATTAAATGCCTAGAGACCTGCACTCATTTAATATGATAGATTCAGTTGCTGGGGAATCCATCCATCACACTTTACATTACAAGGCATTATTTCATTGTTCGCCGAGCATCCTGGGACTGCCGGCTTCTGTATGGAGCTCTTTGGAGTGCCACAGGGATTTTAGGCTTAGAGCCAGGACCAAAAGGGTTGCAAGCTGGGGACAAAATCCAGATCACATTATTGGACAGTGCAGGGGACAGCACAGGCTACGACTATAGGGTGAACTTCTGGCCACATTCAAATAAATGGGAGTTTTGCCATTGACTTCAATCGGGCCAAGATTTCACCCCGAGATGTTCATGTATCTCGATGAGGTTTGCTTCCGAACACTGCGCACAGCTGACACTTTGCGACTGGAAGGGTGAGACCTCGCTGGTAGCCAATGCATTGTAAAGACACCCAAGTCAAGCCATTTCCTTTATTTCCCCTATAAACCGCACCCCAGAAAAGTGATTGTAATGTATATCAGTCCCATCTCAAGGCCCTAACTGCACTTTCTTGGTCCGTTAGAGGCGCGTGGCTTTAGAGCATTCGCTCAGCATGTGCTATTGTTCCCAGAAACTGCCCATCAGGCTTTCACTCCTCAATCCCTTTCTGAATTTGCAGGCAGGCTGGTTTTTGAGTCTCTAGCCTCTGCCACGGGGAAGACACAAGCTCTGTAAATAGAAGCCGTTAAAAAAGGGCTCGTGCATCTCTGGCTAGGGAGCGGGGCCTGGAACTGCCTCGTGGGCTGGCTCAAAGCCCTAGGAGGGCTGCATCTGGCCCATCGAGAGACTTTTGCCCACCCCTGGGCTAGAGGAAAGGCAGGAATATGACAAAGTCCTTGTGGAAGAGACTTGCTCACTGCCTACTACACCGGTTACAGGGATCTGACCATCTTCAAGACTCAGGATATAAAGAGAATCCTCAGTTGCATTGCAGTGCCTAGCTGTGGCATGTGCAATCAGGAGAACTGCAAACACAGGCCAAATCCATCCTGGGTGTCTCTCTGGCTCCAATAGGATTACACCCCCAAGGAGGGATTTGATCTAGTTTCACAGAAACATAGGACTGAAAGGCACCTTGAGAGGTCACCTAGTCCAGTCCTCTGCACTCATGGCAGGACCAAACATTGTCTAGACCGTCCTTGACAGGTGTTTGTCTAACCTGCTTTTAGAAATCTCCAATGATGGAGATTCCACATCCTCCATAGGCAATTTATTCCAGGGCTTATGGGAAATTTTTCCTAATGTCCAACCTAAACCTCCTTTGCTTCAATTTAAATCCATTGCTTCTTGTGCTAACCTCACTGGCCAAGGAGAATAATTTTTCTCCCTCTTCCTTGTAACACTCTGTTAGGTACTTGAAAACTGTTTAATCTGGAAGGGAAGACTGAGAGGGCCATAACAAACCCATTTTTTCCCCAACCTTCCCTCATATATCATGTTTTTTAGAACTTTAATCATTTTTGTTGCTTTTCTATGAATAGTCTCCAGTTTGTCCACATCTTTCCTGAAATGTGGTGCTCAGAACTGGACACAAAACTGCAGTTGAGGCCTAAACAGCGCAGAGCACAGCAGAAGAATTACTTCTTGTGTCTTGCTTACAATTACTTCTTGTGCTCCTGCTAATACATCCTAAAATTATATATATATATTTTTTTGAGGTTCAGATAATTGAAGATCTCCTGGTCTCTCACCACACTTCCTATCTTTCCTTTGCAGTGAGCTAGTTTGCTCTCATGCCCTTAATAAAGTCTCTTTAAAAAAACCTGCCAGCTAGCTTGAACTGTTTTCCCCTTACACTTGCTTCCCATAGGATCTTACCTACCACCTTGCTGAGTTTGCTCGTCTGCCTTCTTGACAGCCATTATCTTTATTGTGCTGTTTTCCTTCCTACCTTTCCCTAGAATCATGAGGTCTAGGTAGGTGTCAGACCTAGATTTAAAGTGTCCTGTTTTTGCAGCTTTACATGAAGCCTGGAGCATTTCTTGAAACATTTTTTCCTGAGATTGAAAAGCATGAGGTCCTGGCAAATCTCATGACACAGAAAGCTGACTCTCTGCCTCCTAAACAGTAGTGCACTCAAGTGCGGGGATGTCCTGTCCATAGGACAGTTATGGGGAGCCACTTAGGTCTTGTGCTTTGGGGAAATCCCACAGTAGCTGCCTCAGCCATGGTATGGACTAGGGATGTTAAATATCGGTTAATTGAATAGTCGAGTTACCTCATGAATTCTTATTGGTTAGTCGACTATTCTATAGTCCCTGGGGGAAAGGCCAAGAGCCAGTGCGCTCCTCCCTCACTTCCAAGGAGCCTTCTGCCATTCTGCGCTGCTGCCTCTGTATCAGAGGCAGCAGTTCGGGATGCCAGGTGTGAGCTGGTCCATGAGGGGAGCCACTCTAAAAACTAACTCCCCTTGCCAACTGGCTGCCTGTTGCCCTGTGCTGCTTCCGCCTGGACCTATCGCAAGCCAGGACTGAGCTGGGCTGCTGGCCAGCCTGCTAAAAAAATTACTGGCAAGGATTGGGAGGGGGGAAAATGCATGTACTCTTATCGGTTAATCAACTACACTATTACATCCCTAGTACGGACAGGCCCCAGGGTGGCTGGGATTGCTCCTCCCCCTTGGCCATGCATTACAGTGATAGAAGCCGGAGCAACCCAGCAGCCTGCTTAGCTCCACCCCACTGCACCACCCTCTCCTAGTCCACTGTGCTCCACTTCCTGCTGCCATGGAGAAGTAGGGCACAGTGGGCTGGGAGAGTGCAGGCTGCCTGGTCGCCATGGTGACCAGGTCCCTTCCTCTGCAAGTATCGGCCAGAGGTGCAGATCAGGTGAGGTTTGGCTGGGAAAGAGACACGGGGCGGGGGCGGGGCAAGAGGTCTAACTGAGGTGGAAGCCAATCAGGCTTTGTCTACACTTCTAACATCAGAGCGCAGCTGCGGCAGTGCTCCCTAGTGAAAGTGTGGCCACAGCACGGGCGCTGTGCAGCCCACCTCCCCGACGAGGGAAGTACAATAAAACTCCATTGGTCCGGCATCCAATGCTCTGGCACTCCTGATGGTCCGGCACCATCGGGAACCCGGAAGTGCTCTGGCTGCTGGACAATTGGAGCTGCTCTGCGCCCGGCTTCCCCGATTCAGTCGCTGCTGAAACTGACCAGCAGCTGAATTGGGACACCTGGGGCAGACGCGGACTATCCGGCGGGGGGGGCGTGCGG